ATTCCAAGTTACCCTCAGACATTTCTTCCTTCCTGTTATTTTTAAATCATTACCCCCCCCAAAAAAATTTTATTTTATTTTTTTTTCACCTTGCTTTTTAAAAAATAAATAAATAAACTATGCTTAGTTTAGGCATGATCTCTGGGTTTGTACATCTCACCAGGTTCAAGACTTCGATCGATTACAAATTCACTCCCCGCCTTGGTACATTATGAGATGAAAATGATCAGAAATGGGGTGGGAGGTGTAAGAAATTTGTCGGATCATTAAATACAGATCCCAAGAGGTGCTTTTCTTCAGTCCCCCCAGCACAGTGGTTCCCAAACTTTAACAACTTGTGAACCGCTTCCACTAAGATGTCAAGTCTCGCGAACCCCCTCCTAAAAATGAATATTTCCAGGGATTTTCTCCTTTACCTGAGTATAAATTATAAAAGCCGTGCTCTTGGAAATATTATATTTGTTTTTATGACATGCTTATTATACACTATTTATTATTAATTATTATTTATAATTCCGGTATTTTTATTACATTATGAAAATGGCACCACTCTTCCAAGATCTCACTTTGGTAGCTTGTATCACTTTGAATAAGACTGTTAGAAGACAAGGCTCCTATGTTTCATCAAGGAGTATCAGATGTGAACCAGCAGGAAGGTATTTAAGAAGCCAACTCAAGAGTTCCTCCTACACAAGCATTCAGGTCTTGAGCAGTCCAGGCAAACAACGCACATTACAACAAAGCTTAAACTTGTTCTTCATAATACTTTTAACAACAAGACTAGCAAAAAATATCCACCTCCCTTTCCATTTCTTATAAGGAGTCTTGAAGTTTAAATCTCCTCAGTGTGATAGGTATGCTGGCTTTGATCTGCTAGCTCTCCGAAGTCCAGGGGCTCCAGTCCGAGCTGCCAGGGGCCCCTGGGGACAGCTCTGTCCGCCATTAGGGAATTTTTTTCCCCAGAGACCCCCCTGTAACATTTCTCGACCCCCGTTTGGGAACCACTGCTCCATCAGAAACCTGACTGGTTCCCAGTCGCAGCGACTATCTGTGGACAGAGACTCATATACAGAAGGGGGCGGGGGGAGTTGGTTACCAATTATTTTTTGCTGTCGTTCTGTTATGACCTGAAAGAAACCAGCCCCCCACCATGCAAAACCGCCTCCGGACTGGCAGCTGGGTCCGGAAGGGAGAAAGGTGGTGGTGGTGGGCCTGGAATCGCTGCTTCAGGCTCTGCACCCTGGGCTGAGAACCTCGTCTGAGGAAACATCCTTTCTCCAGCAGACCTCCAGTAAGGGCCCAGCCCCCCCCCTTCACTTTATCCTGGGGCGGGCTGGCTGTGTAGCAGAACCGCAGCACGGGTACAGAGGGACGCTCTCCGAAGGGACTCGGGGAGGAGCAGGGAGCGGAACTAGTTCTACCAGCTCCACGCTCCCAGCCTAGGTCTTCCAGTGTCGGTAGATGGTTCTTTTCTGAGGCGGGTGGGAGTTGGGGAACACCGCTTATTTTTTCAATACATGTGCACCATCCGGGGCCCGATCCTGCAGTAGTTTACCCGGCAGAACTCAAGTTGACAACTGACCACACTGCCTAGTTCTCACATGTTAAGGCCTCATCTTCCCACGCACAGAATCCGTATAGGGACATATCTATCTATCTATCTATCTATCCCCATCCACCCCCTCTATCTATCTATCTA